GGAATTGCTGATCTTTTCACAATCCCTTCCTTCTGATGGCTAGTCCAAGATGCTAACAAAGTTTGATTTTGGAAAAACACCATCATTTCATTAAACGTAGACGTAGTAGAAAGATTACGCTAGTCCATAGAGATATGGTATGCTACAAGTGAATATTTGCGGCAAGAAATGAATCCTACCTAATTTGAGGATGACTGACCCTTTTCATCCAGCCCATATAATGTCTTTTTCGGGAGCTCGAGGAAATGCATCTCAAGTACACCAATTAGTGGGTATGAGAAGATTAATGTCCGATCCACAAGGACGATTGATTTACCCATTCAAAGGTGAGAGGTTTACACAGAATATAGATCTTGCTGCAGAGGGAGCGCGTAAAGGAGTTGTGGATACTGCTATACGAACGAGGATATCTTACACGCAGACTTGTTGAAGTCGTTCAACACATTGATGATTCCGGAAAGAAAGCATTTTGATCCAAACATTAATTGGTCGTGTAGTACTAGACGATATATATATGGGCCCGCGATCCATTGGCATACTCAAGATATTGGTATTGGACTTATCCAGTGATTCAAAACCTTTCAAACACAACCGATAGCCATTCGGACTCCCTTTACCTGTAGGAGTACATCTTGGATCTGCCTATTATGTTATGGACGAAGTCCTACTCACGGGGACCTGGTCGAATTCGGAGAACCCCTAGGTATTCTTGCGGGGCAATCTATTGGAGAAGAACCGGGTACTAAACTAACATTAAGAACTTTTCATACCGAGGCGGAGTATGAACAGGGGGGACTGAAGAACATATACGAGCTCCTTCTAATGGAAAAATCTAATTCAATGAGGATTTGGTTCCACACGTACACGTCATGGGCATCCTGCCTTTTTGTGTTATTGTTATATAGACTTGTATCTAAGGAGAGTGAGGATATTATACATAACGTCACTATTCCACCCAAAAGTTGATTGACTTTGAGTTCAAAACGATCAATATGTAGAATCAGAACAAGTGATTGCCGAGATTCGCGCGGGAACATACACTCTGTCAAAGAAAGAGAAGGTTTGAAAACATATTGATTCTAACTCAGAGAAATGCATTGAAGTACTGATGTGTACCATGCACCCGAATATACATATAGTCTAGTATAGTCTAGTATAGTCCATCTCTTACCAAAAACAAGTCATTTATGGATATTATCAGGAGGTTCGTGCGGATGCAGTCCCTTTTTCACTCTACAAGCAAGGATCAAGATCAAATTAACGTTCATTCTCTTTCTGTCGAACGAAAGAATATTTCTAGCCTTTTAGTAAATAAAGTGAGACATTTGATGGTCCGGATCTCTCTGGTAAAAACGAAAGCAGAATTCCTTATTATTTATCACTTAATCCAATCCTACCTATGTACGGGTCAATCTAATCTCACCCTGCTATTTTCCACGGTAATTTTGATTGATTGGCAAAGAGGCAAAGAAATGGATTCATCCTTCAAATCACTTCAAGAACGTGAAAAAGAACTACCACCCCCCTCAATGGTATTTTTGTGGAAATAGTATTCTTGCTTATTTCGATGGTCCTCAATACAGAAGAAAGAGTGAAGGAATTACTAAATATGGGACTACTAACTATAGGGATGCATTCAATCCTCAAGAAGATTTGATTGAGTATGGAGGAGTCAAAGACGTTAAGCCAAAATACCAAATGCAAATGAAAGTATAACCATTTTTGTTCATTCCTGAGGAAGTGTATATATATTTTACTAGAATCTTTTTCCATAATGGTACGGAACAATAGTCTCTCTCATTGGAGTAGCTACACGACTAACTAAAAGTATAAGAAGCCGAGTAGGCAGATTGGTCCGAGTGGAGAAGGATTGAACTCAAAGGATTTTCTGGAGATATACATTTTCCTCGAGAGATAGATAAGATATCCCGACACAATGGCATCTTGCTACCACCTGAAAAAGTCAAAAGAAATTCTAAGAAAAGGAAAAATGGGATTTATGTCCAGTGGATCACACCTACCAAGACAAAGTCTTTTGTTTTTGTTCGACCTGTAATCATTCATATATGAACTAGCCGACTGTATCAATTTAGTAACATCCTACAAGATCTATATCTATTGTAAGAAAGGGAGAATCTGGAGCTTAGAGTTATCAATTCTATCCTTTAATGGAAAACCAATTCGAGGAATTTCTGGCACAAGCATTCAATTAGTTTCGGACTTGTTTATTGTTGGTTGAATTGGGACCGAGACAAAAAAAGCTCTTCTATCGAAGAAGCCCGCGCTTCCTTTGTTGAAGTAAGTAAAAATGGTCTGGTTTGCAATTTCCTACGAATAGACTTAGTGAAAACCGAGACTTCGTATATCAGAAAAAGGCAAGATCCGGCAGGTTCAGGATTGATCTTTCATAATGAGGCAGATCAATCCATTTTTTGCTAGTTATTCCAAGACAAGGGTTCCACAATCCATCCCTCAGTCAAAATCAAGGAACTATTCGTACCGTACGTTGTTGAATAGAAATAAAGAACGCCAGCCAGCCAATCTTTGATCATTTTGTCAGCATTGAATTGTTTGCAAATATATTTATTCAACGATGTAAAAGATTAATTATTATGTCATGTCATAAAAGACTCCTCCCTCAAGTAAAAAGGAACCTCTAATTGAAATTAGGAATTCGTTAGGACCTTTAGGGGCGGCCCCTCAAATTGTGAATGAACATTCATTTTCTTAGTTACTCATAATCCGATCTCCCTAACATTTGAAACTTGACAATTGAAAACAAACTTTGAAAGTACTTCCATATTATTTAATGAATGAAAACAGAGGTATTTTGAATTCTGATCCATGCAGTAACATTTCGAATTGGCATTTTCTCCATCATAATTATCACCGTAATGATTGTGAAGAAACACCTACATTAGCCTTGGACAGTTTCTTTTTGCAAATCTATGTATAGCTAGCCCCACACCTAAAATCGGGTCAAATTCTCATTGTTCAAGTTAGTTGATTCCGGAGTAATAAGATAAGATAAGCTAAGCCTTATTTGGCCACTGAAGGAGCAACTGTTCATCGACATTATGGAGAAATCCTTGGAGAAGGAGATACATTCCTTAGTTACATTGATATATGAAAAATCACGATCTGACGACGCAGGGTCTTCCAAAAGTGTCAGAAGTATTAGATAGAAGTGCGTTCTTTTGATTACCTAGAAAAGAGAATTGAGGGTTGGTTGGAATGGAACTCGCGTATAAGAAGAATGATTGGAATTCCTTGGGTTTGATTGGTGCTGAACTAAAGTGCAAAGTCGTATCTCTTTGGTTAATAAGATCAATAAGGGTTCTTGATCCCAGGAGCAGGGGGTGTAGATCCATAATAGACATATCTAAATTCTAAAAGTCTTGGTTTCAGAAGACTGTCTAATGTTCACCTGGAGAACTCATTGTATTGTTGCCAGCGGAACAAACAGCAGGGTGTGCTTTGGAAGAATCTGTTACCGAGCCCCCTGTTATTGGGAATAACAAAGCATCTATAAATACTCAACCAACAAGAATATCGGAAGTAAGAAAGAAACTGCTCGAGTTTTAGCAAAAGCCGCTCTCGAGTATCGATTGGGTGAGAGGTCGGAAAGAGAACTCTAGGAGGAATGATACCCATTGGTACTGGATTCAGAGAATTAGCGCACCGTTCGAGGCAACATAACAATATTCCTTTAGAAAACCCCCCAAATAAATTAGTCAAGGGGGAGAGAGATTTTGTTCCACGACAAACAATTATTGCATTTTTGCATTTCAACGAATTTACATGATAGATCAGAACAAGCATTTCTAGGATTTTATTCTTTCTCAAAGTAGAGCATCCTGTTAACTAGCCGCCCCGCGTTGATTTGGTAGTAATAAGTCAGATAATAACGAATATAAAAAAATGAATGGCTTGGATCGTGTATCAACAGTCACTCCCCGGTAGAGGTAGAGGATAAGAAGGTTCCATGGGAACAATGATTTCTTTCTATTTTAGCTCGTCTCCTTTTTGTTTCTTAAAAAAAGCGAGCGAGGAAGTGGGGGGAGAAATGACAGACATATTGGAACATCCATTTGGAAGAGATGATGGAAGCAGGAGTTAGTTCAGTTTCCTCATGGTACTAGGAAATGGAATCCTAGAATGACACCTTAGATATATCTCCGCAAAACGTAAAGGGATGAATATTCTAAATCTTACCTTACTAGAACTGCTAGTTTTTTATCAGAAGCTTGTGATTTCGTTTTTGATGCAGCAAGTAGGGGCAGGGAAAACAATTCCTCATTGTTGGTACCAAAAAGAAGCGGATTCAATAGCCCAAGCTGCAACAAGGGCTCGGTGACATTATGTTAATACAAAAAGGCTCGGGGGGATGTTAACAAATTGGTCTATTACCGAAACGAAACTGAATAAGTTCAAGGACTTGAGAACGGAACAAAAGGCGGGGGGACTCAACCAACCGTCTTCCGAAAAGGGATGCCCCTATCTTGAAGAGACAATTATCTCACTTGCAAACATATCCATCTGGGCGGGATGATATATATGACGGGGTTAGGTTACCCGATATTGTAATAATCCTTGATCAACAAGAAGAATATCAGGCTCTGAAAGAATGTATCATGCTGGGAATTCCAACTAGTTATTTAATTGATACAAATGGTGACCCGAATCTCATATTTCGATTCCAGCGAATGATGATGCCTGAAATCCGATTTATTATTCATAAGAAGATCAATCAATTTGGGGGGGAACTCCATAGAGTTAGGGTAGGGAATGGCTTACTATTCCCGAATCGCACAAAAGAGATCAAAAACTAGGGTAGGGATATTGTAAGGTAATCAATTGATATCAAAAATAGACAACTCAAGGCAAGGGCAGGCAAGTCAAAGGGAGACAGTCGAATCAAATTCCTTTACAGTTCTATTTCTTTCAGAGGGCAATATTCATACTCATTCTATATGTTCTATCAACACACACAAAGAAAGGAAGGGGTTATAAAATATATCCAATGTGGAAGTTGGCAAATAGGAAGGAGGTTTCCAAGTACATGCACAAGTACTTATTACTTCTTCGGTTGTAATTGCTATCTTATTAGGTTCAGCCATTATAGCTGTTCGTAATCCACAAACCATTCCTACTGACGGTCATTCTTCCTTCTCATATGTCCTTGAATCGAGACATGAGCAAAACTCAGAAGAAGTGTGGGTGGACACGGCCAGCCAGGGAGGAAAGAAAAGGGAGGGGGGAAAGCCTTAGCCTTGAGAATCGAACGTGGCGCTGCTGGATGCTTCTGATCAATAATTGGCGAAGAGGTCCGTGGGTTCCCTTTCTTTATTGGTTGGAACTATCTTTCTATTTCTTTTTCTTTCGAATCGAATTGGTCAGGGGCTCTTTCTTTTACCTTGGAAAATCATACAGTTACCTCACAGAGAGTTAGTCGCACCCACAAATGAGATAAATACTACTGTTGCTTTAGCTTTACTCACATCAGTAGCATATTTCTATGCGAGTCTTAGCTAAAAAGGATTATGAAGTTCTTTCGGGAAATACATTCAACCAACTACAATCCTTTTACCACCCATTAGCACATCTTAGAAGATTTCACAAAACCCCCTTAACACTTAGTTTTCTACTTTTCGGAAATATATTAGCTGATGAATTAGTAGTTGTTGTTCTTGTTTCTTTAATACCTTTAGTAGTTTCTATACCTATTAGGTTCCTTGGATTATTTATTTACAAGTGGTATTCAAGCTCTGATTTTAGCAACTTTAGCTGCGGCTTATATAGGCGAATCCATGGAGGGTCCATTGATTAATTTTCGAAATAGTCTTTTGTTTTTAGCTTAGACCAAGGCAATGTATACATGGCTCAAGATAATCTAGGGAACATAAATATACAAAGAATTTTCAAATACAGAAAATGTATATACTATCTAGGGAGTCAGAGTAATAGGAAACCAAAGATTGCGCTATTCCTATTCTTCGGGAATTGTCTATCAAAAAAGGAAAGAGATCTGAACTTTTTCCTCTCAACGATTGAACAAAAGAAAAAAAGAAGAAATCACATGAACTTAGCTTAGATTAATCAAATATTGATATTTCTAGGCTATGCAAGGATTCGGACTAAACTAATTCATTCGTCCATTTAGATTGATTGTCTACATGTGGGTGGGATAATTCTAAAGAAAAAGGGGGACAAAGAGAAAAAAGGATTGGTTAGGGTAGAGTGGAGTCTACTAGATGTATTGAATCGAATTGCTATAAGACAACCTCTGCCTGTGGATGTTTCGAAGAATGATTCCAGAACTAGAATTGGAATCCATGAATAATTAATTGGTTTACGTTAGGGAAGAAAGACATGTATATGCTCTACTCTATTAGATAGAGACTAGTTATATAGGAAAGATATATCTAATCCCCGCCCGCCCTACTACTGTGAATTTAGATAGGGCTTGCAATGGAAGTCCTTCCGTTTCCTTCCTCTGTTAGATTCAATCAAGAACAAAGAATGAAGAATGAAGCTTTAGAAAAAAGAAAGAGCAGAACAGCAGAACAAGAGTCGTATGGATTCACAAAAACTACGGGGGTGGATAGGAAAAAGAGATTGAAATAGTTCGGACGATTCAATATCCATATATCCATAAGATTCTGACTTCCTTCTTTTTAGAAGAATAAATCTTAGCGATGGAATAATCAGTGATATGAGAATTCATTGGTTGATTGCCTGTCTCATTAATCATTTCTTTCTTTTAGTGTGAGGAACTTTATTATGAATCCACTGATTTATGTCGCTTCCGTTATTGCTGCTGGATTGACCGGCGGGCTTGCTTTTCTTGGACTTGGGGTTGGTCAAGGTACTGTTGCTAGCTAAGTTGTAGAAGGGATCGCGAGACAACCCGAGGCAGAGGGAAAAATCCGAGGTACTGGTAATCTGATTTTCATCTGCAGTCTTGTTGGATGTGTAGGAAGCGTCGTTGAGTAAATGTGAGACAGGTACGCTATCAACCACGGTCACCCATTTTTTGTACGATCATTCGATTAAAGGGTTCTTACAATTTCATTCCCGATTGAAGCCGAGACTAGAATCTAAAACAAGGGAAGGTAGAAGGTGCTTTGATCGAATTACAGATTTCTGAAACTAACTAGCTCTCAACTGCAATTTCTCCTTTTTCCAATTTCATGAATAGATGTGAGATTACCGGTCTTAGAAGGAGAGGCAGGCGGAAGGATTTCCCACTAGCCTATGAACATGAATTCAATATCTAATAATGATCTCTTAAGAGAAGAGATAAGCGGCGAACGAGACAAAGTTTCTGATAATATGAGATTTCGATGCAAAGAGTACTCAAAACGATGTGGACTAGGGTATGTTGGTCCAAGTCAAAAAAAAAGGTTCTTCCTTTTTGCAATCCTCTCTTAAGCCAACTGCTTCTCATGCATACATAGCGTAGTATTTACTCGAGCAAGAATGTAGTGAAGCAAGGCTGCTCCAAGCTTGTTGGAAATGATGCCTCTAAATCCTTTTGGTATGATAAGTGGATTGGTAATTGGTAATACTTCCATGGCTGAAAGGTGCAACTCCGATGTTCCCTTGCATATGAGGGGTGAGAAAGTGGGGGATTACTACAATGATGGAGAATGGGATTGGTCACGACTGAAGATCCTATTTTGTCATAAATTTCTGGTTTAGGAGGAAAGGTATACGGTACCACTGTACTTTTCTATGTTGGTGGCCTAATTCTCATGTGGGATCCAGTGAGCATTAGGCTAAATATTTTGGCATGCAACACGACCAAGTTATCCATTCTGAAGCCAATGTACAAAGCGAAACGACCATCCTTTCCTTTGTATACGTGCAATGCAACCAAATGAGACGGCGAAAGGTATGTTCTGGAATCATTTAACTAAAAGGAGGATCAAGGAAACTTTCTTATAAAGTAGGCGAACGAAGGAGCTGAGAAAATCTAGCTACGCGACGAAAAGGACTTGGTAACAGATAGGATCCGTCATCGGAACAGCTAACAAGCTAGGTCGTGGGCTCTTGAGCTTGCATAGTCTATTCTAGCAGAGTATATCTTCTCAGGCAAAGATGACGAAATAGGCACTATGAACTGTACAAGGGAAAGCTCTTTATACAATAGCGACGAAACCAACATCAAAAAAGAAAGAAGAAATTGCATAATATACTAACTAAAGAGAGGAATTTGATTCACTCTTCGAGGGTCAGATCCAAGTTGAATAATAAATGAAAGTGAAAAGTCAAAGTGTCATTTTTCATCTATATCAGACTCATTCTCATGAACCAGTCGGGGTCGGGCGGATGCCACCGAACCCATGTAGGTTGTAATCACGGTGATCTTCTTATTCTCCCAAGCAAGAGATTGAGACCCCCTAGAACAAGCGTGGTCGCGATAGTGACGAAGAGGACGAAGGAAGGAGGTGAACCGATAGGCGAACCAGCATGGACGATAGGAGAAGAGGTTGACCGGTGGTAGGCATAGTAGTATAGGTAATGCCGAAACATTCCTTATCCCTCAGCTCCCGTAAGGTTGGATAGCAATGAAGGATTGAATTCTGATCGTCAACCTCATTCCATCTCAAAAAAGAAGGGTTCGTAGGGGACGTAAGTCGATGAGTCACTTCGCATTGAAGTCTCGGTTTCAAGTAGTTCGTTCATGGTTCGTGAGCTGATGAGATAGCCTTTTGGTGGCTGAGCCGACTTGCCTCGCTCATCCTTATTTCTTCTCTCTGTGCTTCCTTTCCCCGCTAATTGGCCCTTGTTCAAGAGTAACCAGGGATGATTTTATAGGCGAACAAGCGTGGCCAATAGGCGAAGAGGAAGGGTTTCAGCGTAGCTTAGAAGAAAAGGAAAGGAGCTTTCACTGAAAGGTGAACGGGACGAAGGGTTGCAAGGCTTGATCCAAAGAAAAAAAGGAGAATTCTCATTAAAAGACAAAGGGGATGTAGGGATTGCACAAGCGTCGAAGGAGATTCGGTTAGCCGAAAGAAAGGCGAAGAAGATGTAAGCGCAGCGACGAAGAGGACGAAGAAAATGTAGGTAGCTATGGGGCTTTAGAGGTTCTTATTGCGGGGTAGATACAGGATGAGTGGTATGCAGAGATGTAGTGTAGGGATGGTGAGCGGTGGATGGATGTGAAAGAGGTTGACCCCCATCCCCCTTCACTATGTATGGCCAATTAACTACTCGCTTTAGTCCCTTCTTTTTCTTCTTTGGGCTCGCGGTCATAAAGGGACCTTAAACGTAATAAGGGCATTACTACAAAAAAGCAAATCCGAGTCTTGGCAGTGAAAGTGAAAGTTTATTTATATACTAGTACCACTAAGATGGCGGGGAAACAAACTGACGAGAGAGCTGCTTTCGCCTCGGTAATTACCTAACGAGAGAGAGCTGATGCCAAAGTCGCCCGCGAGGGAACGCCAGACAGACTGACCTCTGCTAACTACGTTTGATATATACTGGAAGCGTCAGAGAGACTATACTGACGGTATAGTGCCCCCACCAGAGAAGGCTGCTTCATGCTAGGCGTCCAGACCTCCTACGCCCAAGCCGCATTTCTGGTACAGACGTTATATCCACTAAGGCTGAATCCCACTTCATCCTACGAACTATACCTGAGATAAAGGCATTCTAGAATAATTCGACGACTTGAAGAAAGAAAGAAAACAATAGCGATCGATTTGGCACGGGGGAAATGTTGAAAAAAATCTTATTGGAAGCGGTTGAGAGTGAGGGCAATCGTCATAGTCAGCCAGCGAGCAATCCCAAGAAAGCCAGCTACCTAGCCTTTCCCCATCGCTAGCTTAAACTGAGGAATAAGAATAGGAAAAACAAACACACCTCCAAGCCCCGTAAGCTATTTCAATGTTATTATTCTGTCTCTTTCTTATGTCCGGTATCAAAGCCACTCGAAGTCGAATGCCTAACCCGTACCTACTTCGTCGCACCAACTCCCTCAAACACAAGGGAGAGG